TTGCCCAGAATGGTCTTGAACTTCTGGACTCAAGTGATCCTCCCACCTAAACCTCCCAAAGTATTGGGATTATAAGTATGAGCCACCTCACCTGGCCTGGACTGTTTTTTTTTTTACAATGTTAATTCACTTTATTTTTCTTGTTTAAAAACCCTATGTTGTAGCCACAGCTGGAGCTTGGGTCCTCTGCACAGAGACTGGTGTGGGTCTTGACAAGGTGGTCAGTGAATTCCTGATAGGGAGACTTGGTGAACACTGTCTCCTTCCAGAGATCGGGGGTCAGGTAGCTGTAAGTCTTAGAGATGGCATCAAAGGTGGCCTTGGCAAAGTTGCCCAAGGTGGCAGTGCAGCCCCTAGCTGAGGTGTAGCAGTCATCTATACCAGCCATCATAAGCAGCTTCTTAGGCACAGGTGCTGAGACGATGCCAGTACCCCTGGGCACGGGGATGAGACGCACCAGCACAGAACCACAGCGGCCTGTCACCTTGCAAGGGACGTGTGGGGCTTGACGATCTTGTTCCCCCAGTAGCCTCTGCGCACGGGGACAATGGAGAGCTTGGCCAGGATGATGGCCCCACGGATGGCAGTGGCCACCTCCTTGGAACACTTAACACCCAGACCGACGTGACCGTTGTAGTGAACCTGGTGCGCTGGCCAGCACGGGTCTGCTTCTGCACCGGCATAATCTTCAAAACCTCATCCTTGAGAGACGCCCCCAGGAAAAAGTCAATGATTTCAGATTCCTTGATGGGCAGAGAGAAAAGATAGATCTCCTCCAGAGATTTAATCTTCATGTCTTTGACCAGGCGGCCCAACTTGGTAACAGGCATCCATTCCTTATCCTCGGCTTTGCCTCCGCGAGCTCCGCGGCCTCGGCCCCGGCCCGGTCCACGGCCGCGACCCCGGCCCCAGATGCCACTGCCGAAACCTCCGCGGAAGCCACCGCTGTTCCCCATCCCGGGGCCCCCAGGGCCTCCGCCCCCCCCCCCCCCCCCCACTGCACCGGCGTCATCCGCCATTTGGTGTTTTATTGGAGAAGAAGCTGGACTGGTTTTTAATCCTAGGGAGATGAAAAGCTATTTGGGGTTTTGGGTGTGAGCTGATTTACTTATTAAAAGAATCATTCTTGCTGCTGTGTGATGACTAGATTGGGCAGAAGTTAGGAGACTAGAGGTTATTGCAATAATCCAGAATGAAAGTCCTGGTGATCTGAACTAAGGTCAAGGTGGTAGGTTGGGTGCGGTGGTTTACGCCTGTAATCCCAGCACTTTGGGAAGCTAAGGCGGATGATCACCTGAAGCCTGGAGTTCAAGAACAGCCTGACCAACATGGTGAAACCCCTTCTCTACTAAAAATACAAAATTAGCCAGGTGTAGTGGCACATGCCTGTAATCTCAGCTATTTGGGAGGCTGAGGCAGGAGAATCACTTGAACCTGGGAGGCCGAGGTTCAGGTGGTGGAAGTGGTAAGAAGTGACTGGATTCTGGATATCTACTGAAGATAGAGCCAAGACAGGATTTGCTGATGGATGTGAGAGGAGAGGGGTCAGACATGTCTGCAAGGTTTGTGACCTGAGCATCTGGAAAGATAGAGTTGCCATTTACCAAAATGGAACAGATTAGGGAGAAGCAAGTCAAGGGGAAAGGAGGAGCTCAGCCGGGCACGGCGGCTCACTCCTGTAATCCCAACACTTTGGGAAGCTGAGGCAGGTAGATCATTTGAGGTCAGGAGTTCGAGACCAGCCTGGCCACCACGGTGAAATCCCATTTCTATTAAAAATACGAAAAACAGCCGGGTGCAGTGGCTCACAAATCGCTTGAACCTGGGAGGCAGAGGTTGTAGTGAGCCAAGATTGCACCAGTGCACTCCAGCCTGGGCGACAGAGTGAAACTCCGTCTTAAAAAAACAAAAACAAAAACAAACAAAACAAAACAAAAACAAAAATTAGCTAGGCGCAGTAGCTCATGCCTGTAATCCCAGCTGAGGCAGGAGGATCTCTGAGGCCAGGAGTTCAAGACCAGCCTGGGCAACATAGCAAGACCCTGTTTCTACAAAATATGTTAACAATTAGCTAGGCAGCCGCCGCCGCTGCCTGAAGCCTTGTAGTATCAGCCATGGTCGACCCCACCGTGTTCTTCTCCTTCGAGCTGTTTGCAGACAAGTTTCCAAAGACAGCAGAAAACTTTCGTGCTCTGAGCACTGGAGAGAAAGGATTTGGTTATAAGGGTTCCTGCTTTCACAGAATTATTCCAGGGTTTATGTGTCAGGGTGGTGACGTCACACGCCATAATGGCACTGGTGGCAAGTCCATCTATGGGGAGGAATGTGATGATGAGAACTTCATCCTAAAGCATACAGGTCCCGGCATCTTGTCCATGGCAAATGCTGGACCAAACACAAATGGTTCCCAGTTTTGCATCTGCACTGTCAAGACTGAGTGGTTGGATGGCAAGCATGTGGTCTTTGGCAAGGTGAAAGGAGGCATGAATATTGTGGAGGCCATGGAGCGCTTTGGGTCCAGGAATGGCAAGGCCAGCAAGAAGACCATCATTGCTGACTGTGGACAACTTTACTAAGTTTGACTTGTGTTTTATCTTAACCACCAGACCATTCCTTCTGTAGCTCAGGAGAGCACCCTCCACCCCATGTGCTCGCAGTATCCTAAAATCTGTGCTCTCGCTGCAGTTCCCTTTGGGTTCCATGTTTTCCTTCCATGCCTAGCTGGATTGCAGAGTTAAGTTTATGATTATGAAATAAAGACTAAATAACAAACAAACAAAAAACAAACAATTAGCTGGGCTTGGTGTGCCTGTTAACCCAGCTACTCAGGAGGCTGAGGTGTGCGAATCATTCGAGCCCAGGAGTTTGAGGATACAGTGACCTATGATCATGCCACTGCCTCCCAGCCTGGGAAACAGAGCAAGCCCTGTCTCAAAAAAAAAAAAAAAAAAAGATTTGAACTTGGGAGGCATTTATACATACATATATGGTATCTAAAACCATGGGGGTTACATTACAGAAATGTTCCCGAAATGTTGTGTGTAAAATATTTGTTTTTGTAAGTTGCCTATATTGTGAATCATTTTGTAGAGAAAATTACATTGTATTTTAGCATTTGAGTAACTTTCTTGGTCCTGTGTTGGAATTTCTTCATGCCAGATGCAGTTATATCAAGTGAATTATGTCAACACAAAGTCAACACAAGTCTTCCTATTAGTTTCCTCTTGCTACTGTAACAAATTACTACAAACTGGGATTACAGGCCTGAGCCACTGCTCTGGTCAATTTATTACTATCTTATTTATTTAAAAAAGACCCTGGCGGGGCTTGGTGGCTCACGCCTGAAAATCCAGCTCTTTGAAGGCTGAAGCGGGCAAATCACCTGAGGCCAGGAGTTTGAGACCAGCCTGACCAACATGGAGAAACCCTTTCTCTATTAAAAATACAAAATTAAGGGGCTGGGCGCGGTGGCTCACACTGTAATCCCAGCACTTTGGGAGGCCGAGGCAGGTGGATCATGAGGTCAAGAGATTGAGACCATCCTGGTCAACATGGTGAAATCCCGTCTCTACTAAAAATACAAAAAATTAGCTGGGCGTGGTGGCACATGCCTGTAGTCCCAGCTACTCAGGAGGCTGAGGCAGGAGACTTGCCTGAACCCAAGAGGTGGAGGTTGTGGTGAGCCGAGATCGCACCATTGCACTCCAGCCTGGGTAACAAGAGGGAAACTCCGTCTCAAAACAAAAACAAAATTAGCTGGGCATGGTGGCACATGCCTGTAATCGGAGCTACTCAGGAGGCTGAGGCAGGAGAATCACTTGAACCCGTGAGGTGGAAGTTGTGGTGAGCCAAGATCACTTCATTGCACTCCAGCCTGGGCAACAAGAGCGAACTCCCTCTCAAAAAAAAAAAAAGAAAGAAAGAAAGAAAAAGAAAGACAGAAACTATACCTTTGGCCACAGAACCTCCAGTTTTTTTCTATGTGAAGCAATTTGTAACACATCATTGTCGATTTGTTTTTATTTTATTTTATTTTTATTTACTTATTTATTTGAGAAGGAGTTTTGCTGTTGTTACCCAGACTGGAGTGCGATGGCAGGATCTCGGCTCACCACAACCTCCGCCTCCTGGGTTCAAGCAATTCTCCTGCCTCAGCATCCTGAGTAGCTGGGATTACAGGCACGCACCACCATGCCTAGCTAATTTTTGTATTTTTAGTAGAGATGGGGTTTCACCTTGTTGACCAGGATGGTCTCGATCTCTTGATCCACATGCCTTGGCCTCCCAAAGTGCTGGGATTATAGGCGTGAGCCACCGCGCCCGGCCAATTTACTTTTATTTTATGGGCATGTACTGCACAGCTACAAGCAATTCTACATCAAAGACATTCTCTGTATTTAACAGAGGCCTGATAGGTGGGTGGCTCTCTACACATAAGAATTGCCTTGGGACTTCCTATATGTCATTTTATTAAGAAATAATTTGGCCGGGGGTAGTGGCTCACACCTGTAATCCAAGCACTTTGGAGGCCAAGGCGGGCAGATCACCTGAGGTCGGGAGTTCAAGATCTGCCTGACCAACACAGTGAAACCCCGTCTTAAAAAAAAAGAAAGGAAGAATTTAACATGGCCGGGTGCGGCTCATGCCTATAATCCCAGCACTTTGGGAGACGGAGGTGGGTGGAACACGAGGTCAAGAGATTGAAACCATCCTGGCCAACATGGTGAAACCCCGTCTCTACTAAAAAATACAATAATTAGCTGGGCATTGTGGTGAGTGCCTGTAGTCCCAGCTACTTGGGAGGCTGAGGCAGGAGAATTGCTTCAACCCAGGAGGTGGAGGTTGCACAGGTTGCAGTGAGCGTCGCTGCACTCCAGCCTGGCGCCTGGCAACAGAGTAAGACTCTGTCTCAAAAAAAAAAAAAGAATTTAACATTAGCTTAGTAACCAAACAAGATCAGATATACAGGTTAACACAAACACACACACAAACACTTAGACTTTGTTGGGATTAAGCAAGCTTATTTAATACAAAAATTAATTGTAGCCTGGGCATGATGGCTCACACCGATGAACCCAGCACTTTGGGAGGCTGAGGCAGCTGGATCACTTGAGTTCAAATGTTTCAGACCAGCCTGAATAACATGGCAAAACACCATCTCTGCAAAAGAAATACAAAAATTAGCCTGGCATGGTGACATGTGCCTGTAGTCCCAGCTACTTGGGAGGCCGAGGCAGGAGAACCACTTGAGCTTGGGAGGTGGAGGTTGCAGTGAGCTGATATTGCACCACTGCAAGAGACCTGGGCGACAAAGGAAGACTCTGTTTCAAAAAAATTAATTAATTGCAAGAATAACATTTGATTTTTAAAATGTTATAAAAGGCTTGGTGCAGTGGCTCACGCCTGTAATCCCAGCATTTTGGGAGGCCGAGGCGGGTGGATCACTTGAGGTCAGGAGTTGGATCACTTGAGGTGGATCACTTGAGGTCAGGTCAAGATCAACGTGACCAACATGGTGAAACCCTGTCTCCATTAAAAAAAAAAGAAAAAGAAAATGTTATAAAAAAGAGGCCATGTCAAAAGGACATAGGCGCCAACCAGAAAGAACTCCCAATGGCCAATGCTGGAACTATCTGAACAGCAAAATAAATAACGTAATGTTGATTATAACTTAAAGTATAAAATAAGTACAAATCCATGCAGATTATATATATACATATATAATAAACAGGAGAAAATAAATGGGAAAGAATATAAATAAATGAGAGTATATAATAAATAAATGGGAGAGAAGGGACAATTTTTTTTTTTTTTTTTGAGATGGAGTCTTGTTCTGTCACCCAGGCTGGAGTGCAGTGGCATGATCTCAGCTCGCTGCAACCTCCACCTCCCGGATTCAAGAGATTCTCCTGCCTCTGCCTCCCAAGTAGCTAGAACTACAGGTGCAAGCCACCACGCCCACCTAATTTTTGTATTTTTAGTAGAGACAGGATTTCACCATATTAGCCAGGTGGTCTCGAACTCCTGACCTCAAGTGATCCACCTGCCTCGGCCTCCCAAAGTGCTGGGATCATAGGCCTGAGCCACTGCTCCTGGCCTTCATTTTTTAATCATCAGAAATTCCTGTTAATACATTCTTCTTTCAGAGGCTATTTACAGAGGTGGGTCAAGCCTTTGTTACTTTTTTTCACACAAACAGAATTAAAGAGATCATCAGAATGCCTCAAAGAGAATAGGTCGAAAGTCTTCTTAGATGATTTCAGTGTGCCAGTACCCCCTCCCGTGTTTTGAGAGCCCCCGCTTTCTGGGGCTGTCACTTATCTGAGAACAGATGTTGTCACAGACATGCAGAACCTCATATTCTTTTCCTCTTTGTCTTATCATTCCTCTCTGGTAACTTTACTCTTTTGTTCCTCTTTTTGCCTTTTGTGCCCCACCCCCATTTAAAAATGTGATGATCAGCCATGGCAGATTGTACCTTGTTAATGGAACATCATGACTATCCGTAATGATGATAGCAACAGCTTCAAGGCTCTTTGTAAGTAGATATTGCGACTTCATTGGTTGAGAAGAAACAAAGATACAATTCTTGCCAGACACTTGCTGAGGACAGGACTTCATTATTTTTAAACCACTGCGCTTGGCCAGTAGATGGCGCGCCCCGCCCTCAGTGTGCATGACTTATGAATGAATATGCCCTCCCTGTGCCCTACACCCCGCCCTCCCCTCTGCTCTCCTCTCCAGCTCACTGCTATCAGAACCACTGTCTGAAGCACAGATTGCCAAGGCCCAGCTTTAAAATGGTGTCATGGGGATTGAGCTGGGGAGAGGAATTCTCTGTGAAGGCAATGGGACCAACAAAAGGGTTAAGGTAGAGAGGTGGCAGGGGAGGAGGGGCTTTTGCAGCCAACCAACTCTTCTATTTGGTTGGAGTTGGGTTGGGAAGGGTAATTGACTAATGTGGGAAAGATAGGTCCAGAGCCTTGAACCTCCTACCAAGGGATTTTGACTAGCTCATTAGGCCATAGAGAATCACTAAAAGGTTTTTTGAGACGGAGTTTCGCTCTTGTTACCCAGGCTGGAGTGCAATGGCGCGATCTCGGCTCACCGCAACCTCCGCTTCCTGCGTTCAGGCAATTCTCCTGCCTCAGCCTCCTGAGTAGCTGGGATTACAGGCACGCACCACCATGCCCAGCTAATTTTTTGTATTTTTAGTAGAGACGGGGTTTCACCATGTTGACCAGAATGGTCTCAATCTCTTGACCTCGTGATCCACCTGCCTTGGCCTCCCAAAGTGCTGGGATTATAGGCGTGAGCTACCGCGCCCGGCCCACTAAAAGGTTTTTATATATATATTTTTAACATTTTGGAGACAGGGTTTTGCCATGTTGCTCAGACTGGTCTTGAACTTGTGGGCTCATGCAATCAGCCCTCCTCAGCTTCCCAAAGTGCTGGGATTATATAGGCGTGAGCCATCAAGCCCGGCTGGGAATCACTAAAAGGTTTTGAAGGTGGCAGGATGAGAGCTGTACTTGCACAGCATTAATATGACCAGGTCTGTGGATGCACTGAATGAAAAGAAAATTGAGAATCTGATGGAAAGATCACCTTACAACAGGAGGGGTGGGCCTGGCATGGTGGTGGCTCATGCCTGTAATCCCAGCACTTTGGGAGGCCGAGGTGATCACCTGAGCTCAGGAGTTTGAGACCAGCCTGGCCAACATGGTGAAACCTCGTCTCTACTAAAAATACAAAATTAGCCAGGCATGGTTACAGGCACCTGTAATCCCAGCTACTCTGGAGCCTGAGGCAGGAGACTTGCTTGAATCCAGGAGGTGGAGGTTGCAGTGAGCTGAGATTGCACCATTGCACTCCAGACTGGGCGACAAGAGCGAAATTCTGTCTCAAATACAAGAACAACAATAGGAGGGGTGTCGGAGGAAGCATATATGTGACAATTTACAGTTTGGGAAATTCAGAGAAGTCGCTCCTCAACCGTGTCACCCATCAGTAGAATATATCCTTCCAGAATCAGTGTCAGGAAATGTCCAGGAACCAGGAACCCAGCCTACACATCCCGATGTCCTACATGCATGCGTATGTGTGGCTAGCCAATCCCTTGCCTTCCTGCCTCTGGGAAGATTATTAGGTCTTCCACTTGTTTTCAAGTAAAAGTAAAAAAAAAAGAAAAAACAGCTTGAGTTTCTTTCCATATCACAGACTTTCAATGTGTTATTATTCAACACTGCAGTGTCAGATTTAGATTTTCCACCTCGAGGAATTTGGTTTAGCTTTAATTAGTTGCTGTGAATATTTCTGAGCCAACTCTGGAAAGCATTTATCTGGAAAATAGTTTCCACTAAAATATAAGCTGGATATAGGGTATCATTTTCCTAGCAGGGTCTGTATCAGTTCACACAGTTATAAATTCTCTCCAGTCCTCTGGATGACTTTTGCCACAAGCCCATCATCATCATATTGGTTAATTACTTATTAAACACAATTCAAAATACTATATTGAGGCATCAGTATCGCCATCCAAGCTCTAGCCTCAGGACTTCAGAGCATGAAGATTTTTCGGAGAAAAGATAATGCTTACAGGTTATTCTCATACAGGCAACTGATGCATTTTTCATCCGGCAACTTTTCAGAAAAACAAGTTGAAAAATACCAGACAAATGAAAAACAGTCCTCAGTAGTTCCATGCTGCTTCCTGAGTAACTGAAGAATGTGCTTCTTGTGGTTAAAATGAGGGATCTGTTTAATATGGATGAAATAGCAACACCCCAGGCATTTTCATTGACATTTCACTGTGACTTTTTGAACTTAGGAGTGCGGATCCAAAAACCTACTCTTTCTTTCTGCTGTGCGGAGCCTGAACAATCTGCAGAAAGATTGCAGAGCCGGGCCAGGCGAGGTAACAGGCTACGTGGGGTTTCTGTTCTCTCTGGTTGTCCTCCCCCCCGCCCCCCCGCCCGTTTGTACTTCATTTCCATTCATACGGCTGCACTTCCCAGTTTTCCAGGATCTCTCCTCTGAAACCAGGCAAGGGTTTGTTCTCGGACTCCCAAATCCCACCCTTTGCCTCTCCAGCCCTGGACCTGCTGACTGGACCCCAAATAGGTGGTGGGCATTAGTGACTTGTCCCTAGGGCCAGGGGACCAGAAACTGCCCAGAGGGGCTGCACGGAGCACAGTGGTACTCAGAGCACATTGGAGAGCGGATTCAGAGGGCAAAGGAGCCGAGGGAAGCCCCTCTGCCCGAGCCTCCCCAGCGCCCGCCGGGCTCCGCTCCCGAGCAGCCCCGCCGTCTGGCAGAGACATGCTGTTTTGTTTAAATCCTCCACATTCTTTGCCATTTCCCCATTGGCCGGATGGGGCTACCCTCCCCGCCGCGGCCGCTGCTGATGTCAGCCTCGCTCGCGCTCGCTCCTCCCGCACCCACCTCCCGGCCCCAGGCACACTGCATCGGCGCGGACGCTCCGGCCCCGGCAAGGTGGCTGCAAACTCGCGGGCACGCACGGCGCCCGGGGAGCCGAGGGACTCGGGGGAGGGGACGCGCGCGGAAGGCGCCAGCTTCCTCCCGCCCGCCCCTGGCAGCCGCGAGCCGAGGTTGGAGGCGCCCGGGGCCCCAGGCGGGCAGAGCCGAGCGGCCGCGGCGGCGGCTTCCCTTTTCTCCCGGAGCCGAGCCCCAGAGCGGCGCGGGGACCGGCCCTAAAAAGAGCAGGAAATCTTGTTTACCGCCTGCGGAGAGGAGCCGATCGAGCCTTTGTCTGGAAAGTCAGCATCTCCGGCTCCGGCTGCTATGTGTTCCTGGTGACATTAGCCTCGGGCAGACCCGCTGAAGGAGGGCGGTCGCCAGGTTCCCGTCTGCTTTCGGGGGCGGATTGAGCGGGGGACTTTTGTGCATTCGTTTTGATTTTGGGGAACCTCTCTTTTTTTCCTCCCTCGCCCGCTGCCGGGCATGTCCTGATCTGGCGGCCGCTCCTACCACCTCGGGCTGAGGAGCAGAGCCGTCCCCAGCGGGTCTCCCTGCTGCCTGACTTTGCAACACCGCGTTCCGGGAGCACCGGCCTCGGCGACGGAGGAGGCGGGGAAGCCGCGAACACCCCAGACCCAAACCCTGACATGCTACGGGGCGGAGAGGAGGAAGCCAGGAGCTGAGCGCGCCGCGGGGGCTGCTTCGCCCGCCGGCTCCGAGCGCTGGGCTCCGGGCGCCCTGCCCTGCGCCTGGGCGGCAGCCTTGCTGGTCTGGGGGGCGCCCCCCGCTTCCCGCCCTGGGGGTCCGCGGCCGGCAGGACCATGCTGCTGAAGGAGTACCGGATCTGCATGCCGCTCACCGTGGACGAGGTAAGCGCCGCGCCCGGCCCGGCCTCGCCCGCTCCGGTATCCCCGCCGCCGCCTCCCGGCCGGCGAGCCCCGGCGGGAGGCAGGAAACCCAGGTGGACCGTACCTCGCAAGCCCGAAGGCTGGAGGAGACAAGGGGGCGCATTTGCAGCTTCCACTAGTCACCCGGGCCGGGGAGGGCGGTGCTGGGTGGGGCGGCGGACTCCGGGCGGGCTCTTTGGGGGCGCCCAGAATCCAGACTGTTGGGGTTCACAATGAGCCAAAAGGAGTGGGTGCGCCCCCTCTCTCCAAATAAGAAAATGAATAAAGCAAACCCAAGGGCCCCCAGTGCGCGCTGTAGCTGGGGTGTGGGGGACACCCCGTCCTGACAGTGGGCCCAGCCTTCCCTCTCCGCCCTCTGAGGTCTGGTCGGAGTACGAGGAGAAGCCCTGCGCCCTCGGGATCTGCACGCCCCGAGCCCCGCGGGGGGCACCTCGGAGCCCTAGGGGGAGATCTTTCCGGGTCCGACTTCTCGCCGTCGCCGCGGGCTTGGGCGCCGCTCACGGCACGTCAGCCCTTCGAGGCTCCCAGACACGGCTCCGTCCTTTCGCAAACCGCCTGGCTCGGAAACTTTCTGCGTCTCTTGTTTCTTCCGCCGCCGGGAGCTTGCTTGGTCGGCTCGCGAGCCGAGAGCGACGGGGGCTGCGGCGCGGCCACAGGAGGGCGCTCCAGCACGTGGTGCCGGGGCCGTGGCTGCCGGCTGGGGGCGCGGGGCACGGGGCGGGGGCTCGTCCTCCACGCGCGGCTCTGCTGCCCTTCTCCCGATCCTGCGAAGCTGCGAGCTCCGGCATTCAGGAAGTGGTGACTCAGAGAGGATTATTCCAGCCCCGGCTTCCCTTTCTTCCCCTTCTTCCTCCCCACCTTTGTGGTGATTTCACGACTGCTGAGCGTCTCTGTCCAGGGACAGCCAGGGAGTCTAAAGCCAAGCAAGCCCACGTGAAACTCACTAGGGTGGTTTGGTATGGCAACACACATGAAATCAGCGACCCAAACAGTCTTTATATTTAAATCCAGTGCCTTCAAACTATCAGATATGTCATTGAGCCACTACTGGGTGAGAGGGGCGATGTGCTTTGGGGGAGAAAAAGACACCTACCTGAGAACGTGGCTGAGCTCACTCACAGGGGCTGTCTGGATTTGCCATCTGGACCAAGGGTTAAGGCAAGACTGAAGTACATTCCAAGACAAGATCAAAGTAGCCACCAGTTTACAAAACGTATCACGGGGACACAGGCTGCCAAGGAGGGAGAGAGAGATCAGCTCCCACCAGAATGATCAACCGAGTTTTGGAGTTCCTTGGCATTTGAGGAGGGAGCATTTAAGCAGGGTTGGGAAGAGTGGATGCCAGGTGGGTAGGCAGAGATTCGAGTTGTATACGACCTTGAACGTGGAGAGGCAGCACATAGCTTTGTGGAGAAACAAAGGCAAATGAATGGGACTGGTGTTTAGGAGTCTTTCCAGAAAAGGTGGAGATCTTTGCACCTTGTGGGCAGCTGAGCTGGAGTAGTTCAGCTGGGAGACATGGATCCCTCTACTCTCTCTCCTCATGACCTTGTTTGTTGATATGAGTTAGGATTCTAGGAGCAATGTTGGGACTGCTTGAAATACACAGAAAATTGCAAGTAATAATCAGGAAAAGGACCAGTTCTAGAATCGTCTCTACTACCTACAAAATCTCCTTATCCTAGTTGGCTCCCTTTTCAGGCTTTCTGAAACACTCAGGCAGATGTTTTTACCATTCTGTTTTTGCACAGAAATACCCACAGGTACACGGTGGGGTAATTACATTTCAGTGATATAGGTGGAGGCCCTTTCTTTTGTTCTTTCTTTCTTTTTTTTTGAGATGGAGTTTCACTGTTGTTGCCCAGGCTGGAGTGCAATGGCTCCATCTCTGCTCACTGCAACCTTCACCTCCCAGGTTCAAGTGATTCTCCTGCCTCAGCCTCCTGACTAGCTGGGATTACAGTCGTGCGCCACCATGTCTGGCTAATTTTTGTATTTTTAGTAGAGGCAGGGTTTTGCCATGTTATCTGAGCTGGTCTCAAACTCCTGACCTCAGATGATCTGCCCGCCTCAGCCTCCTAAAGTGCTGGGATTGTGGGCATGAGCCACCTCGCCCAGCTGACCCTTCCTTTAATTGGCCAACATAATCAGACTCATTAGACTCCGCCTGTAATATAATTATATAAACTCTTCATTGTATAATTCATTTGGTAACATATGACTCCGTTTTTGTCAGGTTCATATTCTGAAGTCATTTTTTGTTTTGTCAGAGAAGCAGGAGGGCAATTTAGATTAATAGATATTTCCAGTTAGAAGAATTCAGATTAGCTAAATCTGATGATGGCTGAAGAAATGAGGCCTAGTTTGCCAGCTGTTAAACCCCTAGTGTCCCATCATCTCCTTTTCCACTGACCTTAACATTGAAAACTAGGAAGCAACTTGCGTTTTTTCAAAGAAGATGTTTAGGTAAGATTTTTAGTCAGACTTTGGAAGCCTGACTTTTCTTCTTCTTCTTCCTTTTATTTTTCTCTTTTTTTGAGACAGGGTCTTGCTCTGTCACCCAGGCTGGAGTGCAGTGGCATGATCCTGGCTCAATGCAGCCTCCATCTCCTGGGCTCAAGTGATTCTCCCACCTCAGCCTCCTGAGTAGGTGGGACAACAGGCGTGTACCACCAACCCGGCTAATTTGTTCACTTTTTGTGGAGACAGGGACTGGCTATGTTGCCCAGGTTGGTCTTGAACTCTGGCTTGAGGATCCTCCTGCCTCCGCCTCTTAAAGTGCTGGGATTACAGGCATGAGCCACTGCACCTGGCCCAGGAGCTTCACTTTTGCTTTGACTCTTGGTTGGCTCTGGACCTGATTCAACCTACAAGGAACCTCTGGAACTTGTTTCTGTTTAACCACAAGAGTTCATGGGTAGCGGTGTCCATACTTTTGAAAATGAAGCCAATGCTCAGGCTTTGGAGAGTCAGCGAGAGAACCAACACTTTGCCTGCTCCTGGGCCTGGCCTTACCCTTTTTCTCTCATTTAACCCTCTGATGGCAGCAGCACAGGAGCATTAGTGGCAGTGGTGTGTTATTATCCATATTTTGCAGATGAATACATTGAGATTCAAAAAGGTTAGGTAATGTGCTCCAGGACACGCAACTAGTTAATAGCCAAGTCAGAAGGAGAGCTTGGTGAAACCCATTATTTGTTTTTCCTTACTCTGCTTTTGCCTGTCACTAGTATTTAATCCAGCAAAAGGAAAAACATTTCTTGAAAACAGATCAAGTCAGCACTATCAACTAAATGAAAAATCAGAGGCCGTTGACTTCCTATAGATGGTACCAGCTTCTATTTCTCCAGCCTTATTTTAACACATAAAATGTTCCCTAGTTCCAGGAAAAAAGAACAGCTCTGGGAGATCAAGAAAATAAAAGCTGAACTGCGGTCTAGATTAGAGTGTTGGTAGGGTTTTCAGTGTGTGTGTGTGTGTGTGTGTTTGTGTTTAAAATGTTAATTTCAGAGTAAAGAATTAATAGAAGTAACATTCCATAAATTCTAATTAAAAATTAATCCCTTGTTTGTGTTCAAGGTAGTGGTCTCTGAACTCAATATAAGTCTGTTGGAAAGTTTGAACAAGGAAAAGTTCCTGAGAGCTGAGGGTTGCTATCCAGAGACAGTTGTCATTATCTTCATTTGAAACACTTGGTGACATAGATTCTAGAGTTTTTGTCTGTTTGGTTGTTTTTTTGAGATGAAATCTCCCTCTGTTGCCCAAGCTGGAATGCAGTGGCATGATCTTGACTCATCGCAACCTCTGCCTCCCAGATTCCAGCAATTCTCCTGCTTCAGCCTCCCAGGTAGCTGGGATTACAGGTGCCCACCACCAGCACCATGCCTGGCTAATTTTTGTAGAGACGGGGTTTCACCAGGTTGGCCAGGCTTTTCAGGTGATCGTCCCGCCTTGGCCTCCCGATGTGCTGGGATTACAGGTGTGAACCACCGCGCCCAGCCGATTCTGCAGTTTTAGACTTAAAACGACTATTGGAGATTATTTATAATCAAGCCATTTTATTTTATAATGAAGTCTAGATCTGTAGAAGATGCAGTTCAGTCGTCTACCTCATGAGAAACTCTAGGCTAGAACCAGGTCTCTTTTAAGCCTCAAGGCGATTCTATTGTGTGGAATTCTCCCTCCTCTGGGATTCCTTGCTGGAAGAAAATATTCCCCCGAGGACCCATGAGTAAAGCAAGTACTGTGGTTTTAGTCTCTAGTTGAAGGTGGCTGGGGACTCTGACTTTGTGTCTACTTAGTGGGACACATAGGGTAGCCCCATTGGAAGCTACTGGAAGGGTGACCCACCTCCTTCCCCAGCCACTCCTTGGTCCCAGGGAGTCACCTGCTCATCAAGGAGGCTCCTTGGAGCACAGTCTGAAGATCACCCTGCACCCGCCACCCTCACCCCAGAGGGTGTTAGTAAAATGAGTGTCTCTCCAGAGGCGCTGCTAATATCTAAGGCAGGAATGCTTTTGTTTTCAATGCTTTCTTTACTGTTTAACAACAGTTCTTGCTCAGCATCTCCCGTTCTGACTGCATTCACATTAATGTGTGTACTTTTGGGGATTGATCTGTAGTCTTTGGGGATTTGGTGCACAACGCAGAAAAATAGAAACACTTCGCTCCTCTCCCAGAAAAGAGAAAGGAAAGAAAAGAAAAACAGCTTTTTCATACAGAGTATTCTTTTGTTCTTTGCCCTGGCAGGGAACCAGTGCACTTCATCCGGGCTCCCCCAGGGTCCCCGGAGAGTTTTGTTGCGCACATTTCTGAGAAGGGATTTGGGATGAGGGGTGGCGCCGGCTCTGGAATGGCATGAATAGAGATGCCGAAATGTCGAACAGTGCTCCCTGTTCTCTGCTTTAAACCATTGTCGTTGGATGCCGTAGGTCACGCCTGTAATCCCAAGACTTGGAGGCTGAGGCGGGCGGATTGCCTCAGCACAGGAGTTTTCGACCAGCCTGGGTAACACGGTGAAACTCCGTCTGTACTAAAATTCAAAAAATTAGCCAGGCGTGGTAGTGCACACCTATAATCCCAGCTACTCGGGAGGCTGAGGCGTGAGAATAGCTTGAACCCAAGAGGCGGAGGCTGCAGTGACCTGAGATTGCGCCACTGCACTCAGCCTGGGCGACAGAGCCAGACTCTGCTTCAAAACAAACAAACAAATAAGCGAAACAACAACAAAACACACACCATTTTCCTGAAAGGCATCTGCAAACATATCAAGGCAGAAATTATTGAAAGGAAGAGATTTTAAGGTTGCTGTTGGCATAGTAGCTCTGTCTGGTATAAAAATCTTATTCTGAATAAGATAATTGTATAAAAAGTTTTCTCAAGAATGAGCACGATTTTGATGTTGTTTTTATTTAAGTTTTCTGTTGAGAAGGGACCACGGTCAGGGTCATGAGTGTGATTTCTAGGCGATCCAGGTAGTTTCCTTGGCTTGTTCCACAGCCAGGGGACAGTGGAGGTTTGCCCAGCTGTCTTGCAAAGCTCCGTTTTTTGTCATAACCGGCACAGGGAAAGGAGGGCGGGTTAATAGGTTTGTGCAAACCTTTCAACACTAATGGAACAGACAAGGAGCAGATGCTGTCCTTCTGGCTGGTCAGTGAAATTGACTCTGTCCGTGAAGGACGCTGTATTTTCCCAGTGACTTGGGTGGGACTACCAGACACAGGAAACAGATTCAGGGAGCAGGAAAGCAAACTGTTGTTAACAAAACCCTGGTTAAAAGTAGGTAGTAATTGAGTAGGTAGTAATTGGCCAGGCACGGTGGCTCATGCCTGTAATCCCAGCACTTTGGGAGGCCAAGGCAGGTGGATCACGAGGTCAGGAGTTTTAGACCAGCCTGGCCAATATGGTGAAATCCTGTCTCTACTAAAAATACAAAAATTAGCTGTGTGCCTATAGTCCCAGCTGCTCGGGAGGCTGAGGCAGGAGAATCGCTTGAACCTGAGAAGCAGAGGTTGCAGTGAGCTGAGATCGCACCACTGCACTCCAGCCTGGGCGACAGAGCAAGACTCTGCCTCAAAAATAAATAAATAAATAAACAAACAAACAAACATAAATAAATAAAAAGTAGGTAGCAGTTAACTTTTGTTTTTTCTTACTGTGATAGGGAGGAAGTTTCTAAGGCTCTTACAAGTCAGTTTAGAAACCTTGTGTCTGATTGCATGAGTGTGAGTGATATTCCAAAGCTAAGTAACTAATTCATTTCAGAAAGGCTGTTGTTTTAGGTGAATGGAGAATATTATTTATTGTAGACATTAAAATAAATTAATGTTTTTTCCCTTCTCTTTCCCTTTCCTTTCCCCTTTCCTTCTCTTCTCTCCCCTCTCCCTCTTCCTGTCCTCCCCTTTCCCCTCTCCTTTTCCCTCTCACCTCTCCCTCTCCCCCCTCCCCTCTCCCTTCTCCCCCTCCCCTCTCCCCGCTTCCCTCTCCACTCTTGCTCTTGTCACCCAGACAGGGGTGCAGTGGCGGTATCTCGGCTCACTGCAACCTCCACCTCCCAGGTTTCAAGCAATTCACGTACCTCAGCCTCCTGAGTAGCTGGGATTACATGTGCCTGCCACCACGCCCAGCTAATTTTTTTGTTGTTGTATTTTTAGTAGAGGTGGGGTTTCACTATGTTGGCTAGGCTGGTCTCAAACTCCTGACCTTGTGATCTTCCTGCCTCGGCCTTCCAAAGTGCTGGGATTACAGGGTGAGCCACTGTGCCCAGCCTAGAATAAATTAATACACTTTAAACATTCAACCTCTTTAAGTGCTTCCCCCTCCTACAGATGTGTATGTATGGGATGGGGAGGGGGAAACCACAACGTTTTAAGTTTATAAAAATATAAAAGTGTATGCACAATGACAGGCAGTAAATGTGTTTTTCAGGAGCAGTAATTACTGGAAAGGTACGTCTAGGTTCATTGCTTTAGCGGCCTGAGTGAGACTGCAGCACCCGGGCTGGCTCCTGTGGGCTTTGGCCTGCTTTCTGTTGCCTGGAGGTCTGTAGTGTCAGGCAAGTCTGAAAACTTTTTTTGAAAACTAAGTAACACTTTTGCCCCAGTTCAGAGAAACAGACTGAGTTCTAGAAATCAGCTAACTTGAGGCCTGGCGCGGTGGCTCATGCCTGTAATCCCAGCACTTTGGGAGGCCGAGGCGGGTGGATCACAAGGTTAAAAGATCGAGACTATCCTGGTCAACATGGTGAAACCCCGTCTCAACTAAAAAATACAAAAAATTATCTGGGCATGGTGGCGTGGGCCTGTAATCCCAGCTACTCAGGAGACTGAGGCAGGAGAATTGCCTGAATCCAGGAGGCGGAGGTTGCGGTGAGCCAAGATCGCCATTGCACTCCAGCCTGGGTAACAGGATCAAAACTCCGTCTTAAAAAAAAGAAATCAGCTAACTTGTAGTGAGAAGCTTTCATGTCTCTTTAACAAATTCAGCCCACTGGGAGAGGGAAAGAATTTCAGACTAGAAATAAGGCATTTTGTGGTATTCCCAAGTGAGGATTTTTCCTGTAGGTTCCAAGGAGGATGAAACCTTGGATTTAAAACGGACAAACCAATCGTATCTGGAAAATGTAAAGTTGTCTAGAAAAATTATCTTGGAAGCTTTACTTTTTGTGCTATGCAACCTCGAATTTGCAAATAGCATCCAAATCATTCAAATGAACAAGGGTCGCAAGGCTGCACACCGCCAGGGGGCACCATTTACATGGGACCCAGTGGGAAGACAGCAGTGTGATGGCCTGCAATTGACCAACCTGCCTTTTACCGCCCTTTCATGCTCCTAACCCCTACTGCTGTCCTGGGTTAGAACTTGACAGTTTATACCAAACTCGTGTGTTTGTAAGTGAAACATCACACCCTTAGCATCGTCTTTCCTGACACTCCATCTACAGCAGCTTTCCTCATCTAAAATAGCTTTCCCCTGGCTGGGTGCAGTGGTTTACACCTGTAACCCCTGCACTTTGGGAGGCCGAGGAGGATGGGTCACTAGAGGTCGGGAGTTTGAGACCAGCCTGGCCAACATAGTGAAACCCCATCTCTACTAAAAACCTAAAAATTAGCTGGTAATGGTGGTAGTGCCCCTGTAATCCCAGCTACTCGGGAGACTGAGGAAGGAGAATTGCTTGAACCTGGGAGGTGGAGGTTGCACTGAGCTGAGATCGAGGCTATACTCCAGTCTGGGTGACAGAGTGAGACTCCATCTCAAAATAAAATTAAAAAAAAAAAAATAGCTTTCTTTTAATATTCTCCCTGATCATTTCCCCTGTCATCTACCTCTCCACACCTGTTTATTCCTTCATAGCATTTATCGAAATTTGTACTTACTGTGTTTACTTGTTTGTTATCTGTTGCCGTCGTTATCTTTTCAACATGTAATCCACATGAGAAAACACTGATATGATCTTTTATTTATTTTCACACTGAGTCTATGAAATCGAGTGTGTATTTTCTGTGGACATACATCTTAATTTGCACTGGCCACCCTGCAGTGCTCAAGGACCATGAATGGCTTGTGGCTGCCATATTGGATAGTATGGCTCTGGTGCTTAAACTTAGGGTCCACACTTGGGAAATACTTGCTGAGAGAATGGATAGGAAGCTGAAAAAAATGGAAACCTTCTTAGGAACCCTGATCCTCTATGTCCTAAAAAATCGTTTAAAACTTTTTCACTTACATTTTATACTGCTTGAAATTTTACCAATTAGAGATTCTTTTGTATTTAAAATATCTTCATTTAAAAAATTCCTTAGTGATACCCCTGAGAAGTTTGAAATCAGTCATATATATCTTGGAGTTACTGTAATCAGACTGCTTTCCTCCTACCTCCCAGAAGAGGGTGTATATTAGTTTTCTTTCCTTTTCTTTTTTTCATTTTGAGATGGAGTCTTGCTCTTGCATCCAGGCTGGAGTACAATGGCGTGATCTTGGGTCACTGCAACCTTCGCCTCCTGGGTTCAAATGATTCTCCTGCCTCAGCCTCCCGAGTAGCTGGGATTACAGATGCTCACCACCACGTGTAGCTAATTTTTGTATTTTTAGTAGAGATGAGGTTTCACCTTGTTGGCCAGGCTGATCTTGAACTCTTGACCTCAGATGATCCACCCGCCTTGGCCTCCCAAAGTTCTGGGGTTACAGGGGTGAGCCACCATGCCTGGTCTCTTTTCTTTTTTTTGTTTGAGACATAGTCTTGCTCTGTTGCCCAGGCTGGAGTGCAGTGGCATGATCTCAGCTCACTGCAACCTCTGCCTCTTGGGTTTAAGCAATTCTCCACCTCAGCTTCCCTAGTAGCTGGGACTACAGGCGTGCACCACCACACCGGGGAAATTTTTGTATTTTTAGTGGAGACGGGGGTCTCACCGTGTTGGCCAGGCTGGTCTTGAACTCTTGACCTCACGTGATCCACCCACCTCGGCTTCCCAAAGTGAGCCACTGTGCCTGGCCATATATTAGTTTTCTATTGCTGTGTTACAAGATCACAAACTCAGTGGCTTAGAACAACACGCATTTATTAGCGCACAAATTCTGTAGCTCAGAAGTCTGGGTTTGGCATGGCTGGATTCTCTGCTCAGGGTCTCATAGGCTAACGTCACAGTGTCAGCCAGCCTGCCTCTCTGGAGCTTGGAGTTGTCTTCAGGGCTCACACTGCTGTTGGCAGAATCAGAATGCAGTTCCTTGCAGTCTATCAGTTAGAGGCTGGTTCCTAGAGGCCACCTGCCATGCCCTGCCCTGTGGCCCTCTCCACAGCATGGCAATTTGCTTTTGCAAGTCCAGTGGGAGAGATTCTACTGCAACTTCAGATCTTTACCACTTGCTGTCTCTTATTTCCCGACTCCTTTCCAAAAGGGCTTACCAGTCAGTGGGAAGCTTGGAGGCCGTTCTGCCTCTCTTAGGGATATTAGCTGAATCCAGTTTCCAGTGGAAGAGAGAAGTATTATTTCTTGAGTCTGGAAAACAGGGCTATGGAAGTTGCAGACTGACATAAGGACACCATCTATTCACAGATACTCTATTGAACTCCTGCCCTTTGCCGGGTGCTGGGCCTGGAGTGGCTAACAAGGCAGGTAGATCCCTGCCCTCTTGGAACTCCTAGGCCCGAGGACACTGGAGAGGTTTTATTGCCATTTAAAAATAGATGGCCGGGCACGGTGGCTCAAGCCTGTAATCCCAGCACTTTGGGAGGCCGAGGCGGGTGGATCACGAGGTCAACAGAGCGAGACCATCCTGGTCAACATGGTGAAACCCCATCTCTACTAAAAATACAAAAAATTAGCTGGGCATGATGGCGTGTGCCTGTAGTCCCAGCTACTCAGGAGGCTGAGGCAGGAGAACTGCCTGAACCCAGGAGGCGAAGGTTGCGGTGAGCTGAGATCGCGCCATTGCACTCCAGCCTGGGTAACAAGAGCGAAACTCCGTGTCAAAAAAAACAAAAAAAGAAAAAGATGATGGCCATGGTTACACAGCTCTGTAAGTGCATCAGGAATCACTGAATTGGTAGGTAAAGTACATCTCAATAAAGTTGTTTTTGAGAAAGAAAAGTGCTTACAGATTTGTTGGAGCAGAATAGATACCCATGTTCAGAGAGAGAGAGAGAGAGAGCAAGAGTGCACTGTTGAGAGGCAGAGAGTGCTGAATTTGAATTCTGCGTAAATGGAAAGGTTACCATCCCCGTCCTTAAGGAGATGGCTCTGGTTGTCTTGAATTTAGATAGCCTTCCAGGGAAGGAGGTTCTCTTCTGCAGCAGTGTGGGGAAAAAATCTGCCAGATTTGGGCCAGAATGACTGCAATTTAGGGTCAGGACATGATACTTAGAGGGAAAAAAGTAATCATGGCTTGAATAGCTGCCCTAAGGCTAGCTACAGGGCTGCAGGGGTCCGGGGAACCTTCCTTGTCAGAGCTAAGGATCCTTAGGAGTTCCTATAAGGGGACGGAGGCTGTGGCTATCATGAGTGGAAGAACCAGCTCCGGGAGGAACCCAGGATTGTTCTGGCTCTGACTCCAGGTGCATGTCTCTGCTTTCTGTGAGCATTGAATGGGAAATCACGTGTTAGTAGAATAAATCCCAGAATATACATTCAGGGAGAGATGGTTCCACATGGCACATAAGTCCTTTGTATGTCTGGCAGATGTCCTTAAGCCTTCTTCCCATCAAGGGCTTTATTCTGACGGTGGCTAACTGGCTATTTAAACCCCATCTCAATAGTGTCTGTCTAGGATGGCAAAAATCACACCAGGTTTTGCTGGGCAAATCTCCCAAGTGGCATTTGCTAGAGGAGAGCCCCACTGCAGGAGGCACACTGTCTTGGCCATTGGCTTTGCACGCCATAGTGGAGGAAGGAGTTTGGGGTCACCAACCACTTCGTGGCTGACTGCCTGAGCCACATTTTACAAGACTGTTTTTTGACTTATAAATACTGAACCAGAGCTCACCAAGATTTTGACATCAAGCAATAAAGTGACTCATTCTTTCATTTCCCAGCATTTTGACAAAAGCGGCCTCTCTTAAAACTCCTCATCGGACGTTTGTGGAAGTCGACTCATGCATCTAAACATGTAGCCAACGTAAGTTCTTGGTCAGATTGATCTAATGACTTTTTTTTTTTAGCTTGTGGTGTTTTTTTTGTTTTGTTTTTGTTTTTTAGAGACAGGATTTCACCATGTTGGCCTGGATAGTCTCGATCTCTTGACCTCGTGATCCACCCACCTTGGCCTCCCAAAGTGCTGGGATTACAGGCCTGAGCCACCACGCCCAGCCTTTTCTCTTTATCTTTTTAATTTTGGGTGAAGTTTAGAATTCCTATTTATTCCTAAGCAAAGAAAAAAGTCATCATTCTTTAATTCCTTTAGCACCATATCTGACCATCTTTAGGGTGTTGTTTCTTTTCTAGACTGAATCACCCAGAGAAATAAGATTGGCCAAACAAATGTAATTTGATGATAACCTTTAATAATGTTGTTTAAGTACCTAATCTAAGCCACTAATCTCCAAAGACTGTTTCCCATGTCATTTTACACACACACACACACACACACACACACACAACACGATTCTGTATTAAGGCCATATCCAGGTGTTTCTGAGCATTAGTTTGTGTGTTTTTATGTTGAAAATAACTATGTATTTATATATTTGTGAGATGGAGTCTCACTCTGCTGCCCAGGCTGGTGTGCAGTGGCGCGATCTCAGCTCACTGCAACCTCTGCCTCCCAGTTTCAAGTGATTCTCCTGCCTCAGCCTCCCAAGTAGCTGGGATTTCAGGTACTCACCACTGTGCCGGCTAATTTTTATGTTTTTAGTAGAGACGGAGTTTCACTCTGTTGGCCAGGCTGGTCTCAAATCCCTGACCTCAAGTGATCTGCTCACCTCGGCCTCCCATAGTGTTGGGATTACAGGAGTGGGCTGCTGTGCCCGGCCAAAAAAAATCCAATTTCTTAGAGATTAAATAAGCCTTCAGGATTATGAAAGGAAATAATTAGGGAAAGGTGATGTTCTGTCCCAGTAAGAGAAGAGAGTGGTCCAGAAATTTAATCTCCCATCAAATGATCAATTTTACCAAAGTATTAAACCAAGTGACATTCTGCATTTTAACTTTAATAAATGAATCATATTCCTCTTTGAAAATACCTTTTGTAGTTCGTGCTCTAAAAAGAGAACCGCCCCTACACTCTTGGAAATTATTCCTTTTAATGACAGTAAAAACCTTTGGCTTTCCTAGGCACCATCAGCAGAGATGTTAGCTCATGAGCACCTCTGAGTTTCTCAAAATTAGTATCTGAAAATGATGGGAACAGACAGGCGGCACCATGTCTTTGGCACATTTTGTTGAAAACTTAAAATTCTTCGGGTGGAGGTAAGCAAATTGGAAGGTATTACAAATGATCAACATGTACTATTCAGAGTTATGGATTTACCCTTCCATCTGAGATGCCTGTGCCTTGGAAACCCCCTGCTCACTTTTAAGTAGCAGTGCCTCCAGATCCAGTTTCTAAGCTACACATGCAGATTAACATTATTCTTTTATAGTCACACTGCATGTGGACTAAAATAATTTTTTTTAAGAGACCAGGTCTCACCATGTTGCCCAGGCTTGTCTCAAACTCACGAGTTCAAGTGATCTACCGGCCTTGGCCTCCCGAAGTGCTGGGATCATAGGTGTGAGCCACTGCGTCTAGCTGAAATAAATATTTTAGGATTTAACATGGTTATTATTTTGAAAATGGAACTCTAAAAGACTTTTCAAAATTCAAAATGATAAAGAACGTTAAAAATAAAAAAGCACCCCAAAACCTGCCTTAGGTTCTGCAGGGGAGATTCAGAAATGTTTTGCTTTGTATCAGCTCTATTGAAATAAATATATTGTTACCTAAAAGGACATTATTTGAACAAGACTGCACTTAATTGGATGTGTATATCCTGGTCAGTTTATTATTAATGTTTATTGTGTTTTTTTTTTTTGAGACAGAGTCTTGCTCTGTCACCAGGCACCAGGCTGGAGTGCAGTGGCTCAATCTTGGCTCACTGCAATCTTTGCCTCCTGGGTTCAAACAATTCTCCTGCCTCAGCCTCCCAAGCAGCTGGGACTACAGGTGCACGCCACCACACCCAGCTAATTTTTATATGTTTTAGTAGAAACAGGGTTTCACCATGTTGGCCAGGATGATCTCGATCTCTTGACCTTGTGATCTGCCCGCCTCCGCCTCCCAAAATGCTAGCATTACAGGCATGAGCAACTATGCCTGGCCTAATGTTTATTGTTTTTAAAAAAATGTGCTAAATGACCAGGCGTGGTGGCTTACGCCTGTTAATCCTAGCACTTTGGGAGGTAAAGGCAGGTGGATTACTTGAGGTCAGGAGCTGGAAAGCAGCCTGGCCAACATGGTGAAACCCTGTTTCTACTAAAAAATACAAAAATGTTAGCTGGGGTGGTGGTGCACACTTGTAATCTCAGCTACTCGGGAGGCTGAGGCAGGAGAATTGCTTGAACGGAGGAGGCAGAGGTTGCAGTGACTGGAGATCACACCACTGCACTCCAGCCTGGGCTCCAGAGCAAGACTCCACCTCAACAACAACAACAACAACAACAACAAACAAAAAAGGAAAAACAAATAATAATAAAAGAAAAACATGTTAAAATATACATGACACAAAGTTTGCCATCCCAACCCTTTTTGAGTATACAGTTTTAGTAGCATTAGGTACATTTACATTGCTGTCCAACCTTCACCACTGCCATCTGCAGAACCGTTTTCATCTTGCAAAATTAAAACCTTGTATCCATTAAACCCTAAATCCCTATTTGTCCAACCCAAAGCCCCTGGCGACCACCATGCTACTTTCTGTCCCTGTGAATTTGACTACTCTAGGCATCTGGTCAGGTTTTTTTTTTAATTTGTTATATTACTTATCATTAAACTCACTCGTCATTTCTTGAAACGAACCCAATCAACTTTAATGAGAGCTAACTAGAATTTTTTCTGAATTCTGCCCTCTGTTAAAGGAAGAAAATGACAACATGGACCCATATCTGTATGTGGGTGGCATTAATGACTTAGTTAGTGACCTTCACCTTTGCAGCAAGAGACGTACTTGACAACTTTAATTTAAAAATATTACTGTATCATCATTGAACAGAATTACTTACTAAGGCAGAAAAATACTGATTTTAGATGCATTTCAAACAAGCGGGGTTGGCACCGACCAGTGTTCTTTTAAGGTAGAAGACAGAATATTTGACTAAAGACAGTGCTGTGGCAGGTAGAAATAGATATTATTTATACCCCTTTTCTGAGTAAGGAAGACTAGTTAAAATGTTAGCTTAGATTTTGATTTTAGAAATGTCTAACTCAAGAGAAAAATATAACTTAATTCAGTATAATGGCATATGAATAAGTTAACTGTGTAACATTTCATTCTTGTCAGTTCTCTTAGTGATGTCTACAAATAGAGCTTTCAGGTCCCTATAGCAGTGACCTGGACGTTATTAGATTTTGTAGTACAACGGTCCTGCCACTTTCAAGGAGCAGTTTGTCATGGACACTGTCCAAAAAAGTATCTAGAAAAATGTTAATTTTTCAGAGTTTCAGTCCAGTCTGAGAAGCATTTTCCTACCAGGGACAAAAGATGTTTCTTAAACCCTTAATGTTACCAAAACATTACACATCTACACCACAAAGGTTACAGAAGGCCAGTCTTGGTGCTCATGCCTGTAATCCCAGCACTTTAGGAGGTCAAGGCAGGAGGATCGCTTGAGCCTATGAGTTTGAGACCAGCATGAGCATGGCAACATAGTGAGAGACCCCATATCTATTTATATATATATTTTAAAATGTATAGTAAGCAATGCTCTTATTAAACTGGTAATTAGCAATTAAAGTAGAAAAGCATCACTGGATAGATGCCTGAGAAAAGGGATCTATAATCACCTGCTTATCTGGGCAAGTCTTGTTTTTTGTTTTTCTTTAAGAGAGAGGATCTTGCTCTGTTGCCCAGGTTGCATTATAGTGGCACCATCATGACTCACTGTAACCTCACACTCCCAGCTCACTCTATCTTCCTGAGTAGCCAGAACAACAGGCCTGCACCACCATGTATGGCTAATTTTGTCTTTTTGTAGAGATGGGCAGGGAGGTGTCTTGTTATATTACTCAGGCTGGCCTAACTCCTGGCCTCAAGCAGTCCTCCTGCCTTGGCCTCCCAGACTGCTGAGATTACAGGTAAGAACCACCACACCTGGCCTGGACAGGTTGTTTTGAAGACGGGTTTATCACTAGAGAAGTTTGAGCTTGAGTCGATGAGCACGTCTTCTGAAATGTTTAAATTTCCTATTGTTAGTGCTCTGGTGGCATGGCCCTCCATCAGGAACATTTTGCTGAGTTTTCCGTGACTTGAAATAATAATGGCAACGTTGGTGCTGATGAAAAGACTGATGTGGCCCTTACATCCCACGTGAATCATCCTCCTCCATAAAAGTGATGCAGTGGATGAGAGTGATTTTTCTAAATACTTAAAAACACTGTGGGCTGGGCATGGTGGCTCATGCCTGTAATCTCAGCACTTTGGGAGGCCGAGGCGGGCAGATCACAAGGTCAGGAGTTCGAAACCAGCCTGATCAACTTGGCGAAACCCCGTTTCTATTAAAAAAAAAAAGAAAACAAAACAAAATGCTGTGAAAATAAGACAGATTTAAAGATATAAATGTGATTATTTACTTCTGCCCCCACTCAAGTGCCAGGAGTTTGGTAACCAGAATTGCATTTAGTCATCGGTGTACAGATTGTACCTTGCAGGCTAGAGACTCAAACCCCGGGCTGTTGAAAGCCATGATAGAGGCTCATTTTTTGATAATATGTTTTTGCTGCTCATGAAGATGCATCATGTTCAAAATGAAAAATCTTTAGATTCAGGACTTAATAGTTCACCTCTTTTGGATTGTGTTTGATGGAAACTTGGACACAGCTGAGTGTAATTATGTTTTTCAGCAGTACGACTTATAATACTGCAGATATGGGCATACTTTGAGATTTTTTTTTTTTGCCCAAATTTGGCTGAAAAGGAGCTTGAGGGTGGTGGTGTGTGCATGTGTGTTTTTAAGGTAATTAGGCTATTAGGGGTCCAAGGGGAATAATCCCCTTAAGCCTTTTCAAGAAAAACACTTTTGAAAGGTTAAGTATATTTAATGTTAGCCATTATTTATGTAGGTGCTCAACCTTTTGACCCTGTTCTCTAGGAGCTGTTTCTTTTAAATGTTGGTTATGTTTGTCAAAAACATCTTATTTTTAATATTTATTTATTAATTTTTGAGACAGAGTCTTATTCTGTCGCCCAGGCTGGAGTGCAGTGGCATGATCTCAGCTCACTGCAACCTCCGCCTCCCAGGTTCAAGCAATTCCCTGCCTTAGCCTCCTAAGTAGCTGGGATTTCAGGCACCTGCCACTATACCCGGCTAATTTTTGTATTTTAGTAGATACGGGGTTTCATCATATTGGCCAGGCTGGTCTCGAACTCAAACTCCTGACCTCAGGTGATCCACCAGCCTTAGCCTCCCAAAGTGCTGAGATTACAGGTGTGAGACACCGCACCTAGCCTGATTTTTATTTTTCGTGATGGGGTCTTGCTCTGTTGCCCAGACTGGAGTGCAGTGGTGCAATCACTGCTTACTGCAGCCTTCACCTCGCTGAGCTCAAGTCTCAGCTTCCTGAGTAGCTGGGACCAAAGGCGAGTGCAACCAGGCTGGGCTAATTAAAAAAAAAATTTAGAGACAGGGTCTCGCTATGTTGCTCAGGCTATTCTTGAACTCCTGGGCTCAAGCGATCCTCTTGCCTCATTCTCCCAAAATGCTGGGATTACAGGTGTAAGCTACCGTGCCTGGCGACCATCTTATTTTTTACAGAGGGTGTTCAGTACTGGTTCTTAGATCAAAAGCAGCCAGATCCCTGGTATCACAGAAGCTTTATCATAGGTTCACGTATTTTTCGTCTCCAGAACGGCCACCTCAGGGTTGTCCTGGCCAACAATCTGTTCTGTAGATCTCAAGAAGGAAATGCCCTAAGGGTCTTCCAAGCCTCTCTTGTTGAGAAAAGTAAAGAACAAAGTAAAGAGACAGAGTGGAGAAATTACGTCAGGGTTAATGGATTGGATTTTAGGGCTGCGTCCAGGCTTATGTTGCTTTCTGCTGAGCTTAGGATCTGCCCTGGACATCTCTCAAAATCACGGGCTGGGGTAAAACCTGCTCACCCTGGCTCAGATCAGAGGAATTTGCAGCCACCTCAAGACACACGTTTGGGTGTGTCTCATCTCCAGTCAGGATGTTCAACTTACTTTTGGCTTTTCTTTTCTTTTCTTTTTTTTTTTTTTGAGATGGAGTCTGGCCCTGTCGCCCAGGCTGGAGGGCAGTGGCGCAGTCTTGGCTAACCGTAACCTCTGCCTCCTGGGTTCAAACAATTCTCCCGCTTCAGCCTCCCAAGTAGTTGAGATTACAGGCACATGCCACCATGCCAAGCTAATTTTTGTATTTTTAGTCAAGACAGGGTTTCACCATGTTGGCCAGGCTGGTCTCGAACCCTCATGATCTGCCTGCCTTGGCCTCCCAAAGTGCTGGAATTACAGGTGAGTTACCATGCTTGGCTGCTTTCTGCTTTTCTTGGATCTTTTTGAATTGCAAATGTGGCCACAGCTGACCACTTGCTTTTGCACCAAGACTTAAAGTGTTCACTTTTAAAGTCCTGGTAATTGCCGCCCCCCAATCAGTATTAGTGCAAAAGTGATTGTGGTTTCAGACCATGAATTTTAAATCATTGTAACTAGGCTCAAACACATCTTTGTTAATCAAAATGAGAACTATTACAATCAACACATTTTTGCCAATGAGAAATAAGTCTTATTTTTTTCCTGTAACATAAAAATCCTTGCTTTGGGATTCAGCGGACTCTTGGAAAGCGTTTTCTGCATCTTGCTGGTTGTTGGAAGCGTTTTCCCTACAAAAAGTTGTCGAGATGCTTGAAGAAGTGGTAGTCAGTTGGCAAGAGGTCAGGTGAATGTGGCGGATGAGGCAAAACTCTGTAGCCCAATCGGTTCAACTTTCTAGGCGCTGGTTGCGCAACATGCGATTGGGTGTTGTCGTGAAGAATTGGTTGGTCCCTTTCTGTTGACAAGTGCTGGCTGCAGAGTCGCAGTTTTTGGTGCATCTCATCGATTTGCAGAGCATACTTCTCAGCTGTAATGGTGTCGCTGGGATTCAGAAAGCTGTAGTGGATCAGACGAGCAGCAGACCACCAAACAGTGACGGTGATCTTTTTTTGGTGCAAGTTTAGCTCTGGGAAGGGCTTTAGATTTTCTTTTCAGTCCAACCACTGAGCTGATTATCGCCAGTTGTCATAAAATCTACTTTTCACTGCACATCACAATCCGATGGAGAAGTGGTTCATTGTTGTTGCATAGAATAAGAGAAGACAACACTTCAAAACGACAGTTGTTTTGATTTTTGCTCAGCTCATGAGGCACCCACTTGTCTAGCTTTCTCACCTGTCTGATTTGCTTCAAATTTCGAATAACCACAGAATGGTCGACGCTGAGTTCTTTGGCAGCT